TTTATTTTGTACAAACAAAATAAATATATTGAAAAATATAAAAACAATAAAAAATTATACTTCAGAAGTTAATTTAGTATCAAAAAAGTAAAATATTTGAGTAGCCCAAGACATAGCCAAAGATTGAAGCGCCACAGCACTGGCGAAAATTTAAATTTGCCGACTGGAATTCTTTCGGATGATTGACGTTTCGGATGATTGACTTTTGGATAATCGACACTACTGTATTTCAATCATTTACAATTTTATATTATAATCAGACATATGTTAACTAATACTTATTTATAACTTTTAGTTGTTTTGTATTCAGTGTAAAATATTAAAAAGCTACAAATTCCATTAAGTTTATCAATTTATTCTTAATTGTATTGTAAAGATATATCTTGATTTGATATATCTGTTTGTTTATCTTTTATATATATCATGACATCTTGTCTTGTTTTACACACATACATGAGAAAACATTATAGCTTTTTAATATCTTGCAGTGAATGTAAAATTAAAATTTATAAATAGAGTTTTAGTTAACTTACGTCTGATTGTAATATAAAATTAAACAACTCAATTCCATTTTTTGAATTATACAGGATGTCTAAAAAATCTAATGGATTTCGAAAAGTTCTATGTATTTAATGAAAACAGATCAGCGCACACATGGTTTTTGGTAATCAGCAACAAAATGCAAAAACTTTTTCTTGATATACAAAAATATAGGGTGCTCTGGTTACAGCAGATAGAACTTTTGAATGACATTTTTCCTAACTGATGGGCAAGATGAGATAGACCAATTCACTTTCCATCCTATTCCTCTGACATAATTTTGAATCAAAAACTCTAGAGTTATTTTTTCATTTGAAGCATTCATTTTGAGTTATAAATGATTTTAAAAATTTGATGTCATTTCCTGTTTAGTGTAGTGCTAACTAATGTATGAAAATATTTGTTGAGAATTGCATGCATGTTAGTTTGATATTCATTACATATTACTTACTTAGGCAGCAAGGTAAGAATCAGCCATCAACTATAAAGATAGCAACTCCTAGCCCAGGCTTGCTTGAAGGACCTTACTTGAGATTCAAAAATGCAAGATCAGACATGTCACTAGCATAAACCAACCAATCAGGATTTATAAGTGCTAAAATTTTAAATTTTCAAAAAGTAGAACACCAATGCATTGGTGTTCTACTTTTTGAAACCAAAACATTCTTTACAAGCATTATTCTATAATCAAAAAACTATATAACCTGAAGATGGGAGCTTAAGATTACCATAAATATTTGCTCAATATTTTAAACATTCTACTTTGCTGCTGGAGTTTGGGTGTTACTTAAGTATATGTCAAATTAAACTTTCAACAAAAGCTGGAATTTTTCATAAATAATATTCTAACCTGAAAAAGGCTTGAAAATCAAGCTGAAAACATTTGTTTGGAGTACTAAATAAGTGCTTAAAGCATATGAAAAGTGTATTTATATAATTTAATATATTGCTTATTTTAAAGTTTCATTGTTACTATAAATACATATATGAATCTNCACCGGTCGTCCCATTGTGGGCCTGCCGAACCCATAATGGGCCTGCTAAAAGAGGTCTTCTTAGTGCCCACAGAGCGGAAAGAGTTAATTAGCTCTTTCCATCCTGTGAGCACTACGACAAATGAAATCCACAATGGACTTTATAGTAAATCCATTGTGAATTTTGCCATGCTCACAAATGGAGAAGCCAGATAATGAGAGACGGGACCCGACATATCCTGCAAACCACTACTCTGAAAAATTCTCGCCATTTCTCGACCCGTCCGGATTCGATTCAAACTCATCGAGGATAGGCTGCCAGAGCGATAGGCTATCACCTTAATCACTCGACCATAGGGATACAAGATTCTAGCCCCGAGGCGAGCATTAGTTCTAAATTATGCCACTAAGGCGAACAGCATCAATGACGGAAACTAGATATGTGTCAGTTTCGGGCCATAGTTACAAATTATGAATGATTTATTCATAAATTTTTATTATTTAAAAATGAAAATAAATTAAATTTTTAAATTACTTACAAAGGATTTTTTTCATACGCAACGTCAACCTTTTCGCCTGATCCGAAGAGTAAAATAGCACGTATCATTTGTTTATCGTACTGTCAAAGTTGTTGAACTCATTATACGTTAAATAAAATGGAATATAGTGAGTGTGGTTTATAGTCATAAACAAAGTTTAAACGGTACGATTTGTGATTTATCGGTACACTACTTATGTGTTCTGTTCATAATTATAAATTATAAATACTTTGTTAGAAATTATTAGTTAAAAGTGAAAATAAATGAAATTTATGGATAGACGTCTTGCTTAACAATGAATTTTTCCATAAAAATTAATACTGTAAGATTATGAGATTATTTTTTCTTAATCAACGCAACTTTAAAATTCAGTACACACCTGAGCCCACCAGTGGCCAAGCAGTCTTCGTACCCTGAACACCCGGAATTCGGTCGTGGGTTCGCGCAAGATCGGATTAACCCACTTTGAGAATTGCCCAATTGTAAATATGTATTGGTAAATATTTCTCAATAAACCACCTTGGTTTTATCATCATCATAAACATGATGGGAAAGAACGAATGTTTCCAAGTTTGTTTGTAAGTTTTCTTTTTGCTCATCACTTTTTTGAATTGGTGTTTCGTCAAACCTTACGTTTGGAATTTTTTACACTGAAAGTTACTAATATACAATCTAAATCACGAAAAAAATTATTTCTGTATATATTTGTTAAAATTTCGAGTACCGTGTAAGTTATAATGCAGCTCGCCAAAAACAAAGTTAAATTAAGTAACTTAACTCTGGCGTCAAATTTTTTCATATTTGACTACAACTTTTTGGGAACAATAGCAAATTGTACTGTTTATGTCCCTGTTTTTTTTATGTTATACGGTACACGTAATTAATAAAATGTGGCGTTCAGTACTCCGTGCTGTGTATTATTCTTAGTAGGATAATCGAGATATGCGTTACGTAATTTTTGGGGCGGATACATGCGACAGCATCACAGGGAGTGAGATGGTTGCTGAAAAGCATAAAATTAACTTTAAGTAATTTAGGGATGATCCCGAGGGTCAACCAGATGGTAGAGAAATGGGGCCAGCATATACAGGCCAACCTTCGTATGAAAACTTATAAATCGATCCTGGGTCGAACCCGAATCCACATAATAGCAGACTAGTGCACTTCGCATGCGGCAGTCGCATTTCTTTATTATCTTTTATGCTGCTTACATATTTGCTTATTTCACAAACTTTATTTGAATATATATTAAAATACCCAAAGCGGATAAACCGAATATAGTAGTCCTACTCGCCACTCTGAGGGGCCAGACCAGGAGCGGATCTTAAAAAGTTTCATGGAGGTCCCCAGTCAGCCGCTCCATTGGCATTTTAATCAAATCAATAACAAGCTTGGAGAAAATAAAAACTTTCTTAGTATATACAGACTGAAATTTATTAAAAGGTTATTAAAAAATCAGTTATGACATTTATTATTACGAAAGATCTATAAACTGTAATCCAAGTGAAGGAACGGAATATTGCAAAGACCATTAAGGTTGGAATATCTTTCGACGAAGACATCGCCTTATTTTCTCTCTCACGCGGACACAATAGTCTATAAATGGAAATAAGTTAACGAACAAGTAAGATGTGAAATTTTAAAATTCAATAAGACGCTAATCATAAGACGCTAATCATTAATTCATTAATAATAATAATAATAATTAATATTAGTTAATATTGAATATTATAAAGAAGGACGGTTTCTGTAATTATTTAATTAAAAAAAATTTTTTTTAATTATTTATTTTAAAAAATAATTCATTTTTATGACAGAAGGTGGCGAGTGATAAAATTGACGGAAGCGAGCCTACGTAACATAATCACGGTAATCGGAGTTTATGAATAGTTTCATGGTTTTGATGTCACTCAAAATTTTCTTTCTAGAAAATATTATAACTGGGTAAATATAAATTTTTATTATTCACATAAAACTGAAAATTATATGATAAAAACGATAATGAAATTGAATAAATATTTCAATTTTTTTGCCTAAGCCTAAATGAATTTGATTATTTAGATAAATATAATATATAAATAAGTATATTATAGTATTATATACGAAAATCTATTTTTATCTTGTATAATATAAATTTTCTTTCGTGTTTTAAACGAATAAAATAATGAAAGATGAGCAGTAAATTGGATATGTTTACATGAACATCTGAATGTATATCTTAATAAGGTTTGAAATATTACTATTGCAATTTAAAATGTTATGTGATAATAGGATGATTTCATCACTGAAATTCTTTTACTTTACATGTATTGCAGTCTTTTGACATACATACTACAAAAATTTCTGAAAAAATGAGATTGCAGTTTTGCATTTAAAAAACACTAAAACAGTCAGGTGTTTTCCTTCAAATTTTAATATTTTTTAATCAAAGTTTCATTTATTTATATTGTGCAAGTATTCATTTTTTCGTACAACCTGTAATTGTAGGTTTTATTTGGCGTATTAGAGAGATTACTTAAATAAGTCCGTTCGTTTTATTCGTATGTGGCAACTTGACGTGTGGGCCATCTGCCGAGGGTAATGTCTCCCGGGAGGTCTTTTACTAACGTGAAGAAAATCTGGAAGACTCCGCGTGGTCGGTTTGTTGGTCGAGTGCAGACGCGCCACCGACTATCGGTGTTTGGTGGTTTCGTCTACCGGGTCGCGCATGGGCCAATTTAGTTATTACTTTAAAAGTATGAAGACCTTTTAGAACGGAGAAACTTTATTCTAAATGGATTCCTACATAAGTTTTTAGTGTTTGTTTATTTTATAGTAAATTATATATATGATATCTAAGAAACAGTTATTGTACATGGAGAATATTAACTTGTTTACAGAATATAAAAAAAATTTCCTTGTCATGCAGAAATATATTACTATGCTATTTTTTATATTTGAAATATTTAAAAATGAGTGAAAAATATCTTAAAAAGAAATTATAAACTTTCTTTATATTATAAGACAACATAAAATTACTTTGAATGGTTTCAGATTGATTAGTGCAATTATGTTTTGTACAGTAATGTCTTAGTTAATGAAGTAAATACATTCCAAACATTTGGTTTGTAAGAAATTTCATTCTTAGAAAAGAATTAATATAGAAAGATGATTTATATGCTCTGTTTTTTAAAAAAAGTGAATATGATTTTTAAAATAAATTTATTCTTAATGAAAATAACATAGATGTTGTCTTAAGCAGTAAACTTAAAAGTCATTAAGAAACATATATATATATATCTTAAGTAAGGCAGATTTCAAGACCTTGTCAAAAAATGCATCAATATGATTCTGTTTCACTTCTTAAACCACATAATATTTCTCTTTAACCATTTAAAGTATTTAGAATGGATTCTTCATTATAGTTTTATTCAAAATTGAGATATTTTTAATCAATCACTTTTCATTTATGTGTTAATTTTTTGTTATTAGGAAAAAGTACATGTTTAAATTAAAATTTAATTGCAATTAAATTTCTCATATTAATTTTTTTATTTACTTAGATGTAATGCTAATGTGATGCATCACTGATTAAATGTATTGTTTGTATTTAAATGATATAAATGACCATTAGCTACTGATTCCAAGTAGCAAGGTGGGTGTGTTTATCATAATAAACAATACCTGCTACGTATGAACTCACATATTCACTGTGACATGTTATTTTTTGTTAGAGCTTTATTCTCAAAGGGTTTTTCGAAGTATAGCTATATTTGCTTTTACTGTTGCATAAAATATTTTTAATATGCTAAATAGGTCATAATATATAACAGTATATGAAAATATATTTTAGTTATGTTATTAAACAATAATTGATTTATTGATTGTATTAGTTTGAACTTAACATTCATTTACTATATTATAGTACTTGTACTTCACTTATTAATATATATCAGATACTATAATTTTCTTAGCATTTGTTTTAAAATTAAAATTTTATTTTAAAGCAAATGCTATTATAAATGTTGGTTTGTATTTATATCAAGTATGGAAATATACATTGTTTAACAAGTAAAGTTAGAATATATAGACACTAAAAATCATATAAATACTTGTAGTTATAAGAATCATGTAAGTTATAACTTATATGATTTTTATGTCTAGATGTCTTAGCTCTACTAAGTTGTATATTTAACCAATAGTTATTAAATGTCACTAATAATAAGTTTCAGTCAACTTCTATTAAACAGACTTGCTTTTTTTTCTGAAATTTATAAGTTTACAGAAAAATTTTAAATTTATCAAATAATACAAATTTTAAAATATTAAAATTTTGTAATTGAATGTCAAAATTGTATATTCAAAAGATGATGTCATGTACATTACTGCAAAAAAATCTACAATTTCTATATATATCAGTATATAATTTTTTTTAGCTGAAATGTCAGAATTTAACTCTCAATGCCTCATAGCACATTATGACATTTGAGTGATTGATTTTTTTAAAGTGTCATATGCATGTTTTAAATATATTTATTATTATTAATCTGCTTTGAATTATGGTATTTTAAGTTATAGCCTTTGCTTTTATCGTACTATTGATTATTTGTTTTAAATTTAAAAATATTATTTATAGTAATNAATGTTTTAAATTGCTTTTCTAAAACCATGAATATTTCACAGATTAATATATTTATGTTATATTCAGTTAGAATATATAGGAATATATATTAGGGATTTTATAAATAATGTAAGAAGTATTCTTATTAAATGACACTTTTTAAATCAGTAGATGGGAGTCTTTTAAAATTACTAACATTTTAGTAAAATTGTGATAAAAGCAAAGTAGATGCGATTTAGTTCAAATCGTTCCCTTTTCATAAATAGTAGCAACATAAAAGTATGCCGAAAATAAAGATTAATAAAGCAGAGGATGCAACAAAAAGAAGTTAACCAAGAATGAAAATATAATCCCTCTTTTACGATAAAGAAAATATCTACCAAATCCGCGATTTCCTCTTTTCTGAAGATAGCTTCTCATAAAATAAAACTGTTCGTTTTCGGAAATAGTCTGTCATAAGATATATCGACTAAATAATTATCTTGGTTGATGGGTTTCGGTATAGACAGTATTTTATGGCATCTACTGAAATTACTTGCTTTATTACAACTTTAATACAAAGATCAGGGATATACTAAGAAAATATAGTTGTTTAGTTTAATTCTTATAACAAGTTGGATTCATCCGGAATAGTTGATTAAATGTAATCAATAAATATAAAACTAATACTGTTACTAAAGAATTATAAATTTCAACATAGATGTAGAAAGCCTTGTGAAATGCCAAGATTGGGCTGCTGAAGGCAAGGAAAGGGAGCCTCTAGTATGTGCTAAATAAAACATGAATATTTATAATGAAATATCCTCATTGGAGTCATACACTATTTACTATTTTATGAGTCAAAAAAATATATAAATTTAAAGGCGTATGAATTATTTTTACATGGTTTAACATTTTAACATATGATTGATTAAAATTGAAATAGATTGAAATAGATAATACAATCTTAATGAGTTTCAATTCTTAGATAGCAGTTTTTGATGGATGTAATATTTAATTGAGAGATTATAAGTTTTAGAGGTTGGAATGTGGAGTAGCAAATATATATGTAAATTTTAAGTATTTTTTGTCTTTTATAGATTTAGAAAATATGGAAAATTATTCATGAATTTCTATATTTTACATAAAATAGAAGACACTATGTTTCTTTTATTTAGTAAATTATGACAGAATAAAATACGTATATTACAAAAATATTTAGATATCAAACAAGTTTTAATTTATACAGAACTAGCTTACCCGTCGCGCATTGCTGCGATCTCAGAAGAAAGGAAATTAAAGCAAACTCGTTATGATAAAATTAAATTTACATTTTATCATTTTCATTGAAACTTATTATTATTATTCATTTTCATCGGAAAAACATTTCAAAGTGGTGTTTCAATTTTATTTATTTATTGGAGTGCTTTGTGGATACACGATATTTTTTGTTTTTCCGTCTGGTGCGTACACGAATAAATCAAAAGGTTTTCCGATGCGTGAGTTGGCCACATACAGTTCTCCAAGCGAGAAGCACGGATTCTTTAAATTTAGCCCACATACTCACAGAAATTGTTAGAAGTGTGATATTTCCCATTTTTATATATTTTTTTTAATCCTTCATAATTTTGATTATTTAATTGCTCCTTCCTCTCTTCCTTGGCGTGTTGTGAAATTTCTCATAGTTGGATAATAAACCGTTTTATTGTAATTTGTCTTTTTAAATTATTTTGAGTTGATATTAAAATTTGGAAAAGGGGGATTCCTAGATCAGTAAAATAGGCGAATTTCCTTCTACAACTTCAGTTGTTGTTCATGATACAGTTAAGGCTTTAACAAAGTTCGAGCGATTACGTAATTAGCAAAAAAAAGTTGAAATGAAGTGATTAAACAAAAATTATAACATATATCGTAAATAATAAATGCATATATAAAGATATTTTTTGGAGGGGGGAAATGGTCTTTACAATTTTAAATCAATTGAACACATTGTGCTCGAATGCTCGTGTAAACGCGCGCCATCTATCGTAGGGTAAATGCCAGAAACCTTCGTGGGAGTGTATTAAAAAAAAACTTCCCAAAGCTTCATGGCAATCGTACTACGCTACAAACCTTCGCTGGAGTATATTAAACAACTTCCCAAAGTTTCACGGCAATTGGATAAATGGTGTGGTAATGCATGAAGGACACACACACACACACACACACACACACATTCATTTTTATATATATAGATGAATTATTTCTTTAAGGTATATTTAGACAAATGCATGTATGCAAGCGTGAATACATGCACTTGTATTTACGCAGATGCATGTATTAAATGTGTAATATATAAAAATATATATTCAAATTAAGCTTCATAATCAACATATGATATGCAAAAATATAGGATGATTTGCAACAGATTATTGTATAAAGTTTGTTGACATCATTATGTATGTATGTGACACCATTATTTAGAAACAGTCAATTTTCAAGTTAGCAATACATTTGTAATCATACATTAAAGTAAAGATGCAATCTGTAACTTGATTTTTAATGTAGGAAAAATAAAACTGATGATATATTGCAAAATTTTTATTCTTTATAATGTGTTTGAAGCCTTTGAGTTAGTATCAATTCTCATATGGATGAATGGATTTAAATGAAAGTTTAAGAGTAGCATTGAAAGATTCCTTAAATTCACAGCAAACTTCTAGAAGTTGAAGCAGCACTGTTATGACTTTTGGATATTTGCTTTGAAACTCATATTGAAGAATCATAAATTTCCCATCAGTTCCAAAGCAAGTACAGTATCTACAAATCATGATCAGCAACAATAATAGTGCTGCTTCAATTTTTAGATATATTGTGGTTTGAGATTGTTTCAAAGATATTCTTAAAGTAACAAATTTTTAAATGCATAGTTTTTCAATAATAATGAATAAGAGGATTTGTAAACTCTGCAAATAGTACATTACATGCTTTATACTAATAAAGTGACATGCCATAAAGCACTGCTACATGATGCAAAAAGACAGGGTGTGATGCAACTTGTCCTGATACACAAAAACAGTTTGTAACCTACCTGAAACTAAGGTAATGTTACTCTGTTTATTAGTTGGTTTTCAGTAGTCTTTGGTAGTCAGAAATCTGTTTAGCAAAAGAATAAAATTTGATTTCTTTTTCTCCTGTTTTTCCTATTCAAGTATGGGAACAAAAAGTTCTAACATATGCACAGTAAAAAGGAAAAAGAATATCTGAAGCAAATTCCTTATTTTTTTAAAAATAAATAATAAAAAAGTGAAAAGTTTTTATCTTGGGCCATTTGATTTAATGGATTGTAACAAAATTAGATTTTGATACATTTCTAATTTATTTTATAACAGTGAGTTACTGTAAGTTTTAGACATTGTGCACACTTGTTTTAGAATACTTTATGCAAACTATTCATGACAAATTTTTCATCAATTTACTGTAATCTGTTTAATTTATCAATTTATTTTATCCAATTTTTTAAGAATTTAATTTTTTTAAATTAAAAGATTGATAAAAAGAATTCTCTATTCTTGAACTATTCAATATATTTGATTCAAATGAAAATTGATTCAGATGCAATTTTTTTTATTTTATGAAAGCTTGTTTCTGTATACAGTATTTATATCATGTCATTTGTTTTCTGCTTAAATTTTTTTAACTTTAAAATTCCTTGTATCATCAAACACATTATGTTTCAGACATTTAAAACCTAAAAGTATGAAAAGCACTTGTGAATTTTCAAGATTATTATATTTTTAAATTTTTTGAAGAAGAAAATATTCAATAAACAAAACACAGTTATATGCACTCTCTCTCTTCCTCCTCGTCTGTTGTAATGATTTTAATATCACAATGCTGAATAATAGTGAATGGTGCCAAGGCAACAAAATGTTTAGTTTTCCCTCCTTTTTTTTTATTTGCCCTTTTATAAAATTGCAATATTAATTTTCAAAATATGATTAAAGATAGGTGGTGATAAAAATTTTTGCTTTGCTTTTCCTTCATTCAAAGTTGTAATGTCACATTTCTATGAATTCAAAAATTGATTAGAAAAAAAGTTTTAAACATTTTCACTGTTAGAAAATTGTGAGGTCTGAAATAAAACTAAAGTGTAAAATTTTTAATAAATTTATCGCTTTGTGAAAAAATTTAAGATTACATTTAGCATGTTTATAATAATATATTGATATGTATTTCAAGAAGAAAATATATGTTTTTTCGAAATAAAAAAATTTCAGAATAAATTGAAGGAAGCTGAAACTGCTTTAAACTAGGATATTCAAGGTGCAAACATTTCTACAATGTATTGCAATGGTGAAAAGGAGCAAAAACCAATGTAGGAGTAACAGTTATGATTTTGCATGACTATTTCTTGGCAAAAGAAACAAAAAGAAGAGCAGTTAAATTTACAATGATTACATGACGAATATGGTATTTTTTGTTTTTTTTTTCTTTTTATTTTCTAAAGTTGATGTGTATAAGTTTTGTATTAAAAAAAATGAATTCTTCCTAGGACATGAACTGTAAGCTTACAAAAAACTTTGTTATGAAAACTTTCTAAGGATGCACCGATTAATCGGTAAGTAATTGGTAATCGGCTGTATCGGCCACTTAGCCGATTAATCGGTATCGGCCATTCCCCCCGATTAATC